TAAACAATTTATGATTTTTAAAGATGTTTTCCCCATGAAGGCCCCCGGGAGCCTCTTGCTCATGGGGTTATCTGTGGCTGGGTGGACCGTTCTTCAGTCTGCTCCCAGCTCCCCTTTCTTCGTTACCTCCCGATTCCGCACCCCTGTGTGAGTCCTGGCTCGCAGGTGCTGATGGGAAGGATGACAGCCATGCTTGGACATCGATCGAGGGCCTGCAGGTGCCAGCATGTTCTGGGTGCTGCAGGGTGGCCACACTGCAGGAGTTGACCAAGATCCTGCCCTCCTGCAGCTGGCGTCCCTGGGGGAGCAAACCTAGAACAAAGAAGCAGATGTGTGATCTGCCCGGGAGTGGTGGTGACACTAGAAGAGAGCAGTGGGCAGTGAGGGGACACTGGGCCACAGCAAGTTAAAGGTGGCAGAGAAAATTCTCACTTTGGAGCCTTTCAGGGACTTGTTTTCCTTCTACTTAAGGGGAAGGCGTAACTGTCGTCAGGAGAGTGAAGGCATTTTCTGGTCTAAGAAATTAAACTGAGACTTTCTGGAAAGGTGGGCATGTGTGCCTGGGCACATCCTCGGTTGGGGTAGCAGCCCCAAGGCTCCAGGCCGTCTGGTGGGTAAAGCAGCTGTGCTTGTGAACAGTGCCTGCTCACGCCGCTGCCTCTCTCCTGTCCTCTTGCAGCTGGGCAGGGAGGAGAAGGCTCTGGAGAGCTGCTTGAGCCTGGGCGGTCACCGAGCCCCCGTGGTCACCGTGGACTGGAGCACAGCCATGGACTGCGGCACCTGCCTCACTGCCTCCATGGATGGCAAGGTCAAGCTGACCACCCTCCTGGCCCATAAAGCCTGATGGGAGCCGCCGCAAGCGACGTCCTGGAAGCAGTGTTATCCTGGGGGGCGGGGAGAGGCGACACAGGACGGCGGGACGCTCCACTCGCAGCTGCCCGCCAGTGCGGCGAGTCTTCAGGGGATGGCTGTTTGGGGGACTTGGGGCTCAGTCTGGCTGCAGTGACAGGAACGGAGCCACGTGGGGACCAGCCTGCTGGGCTGCGCCAGCTGCGCGCTCCGGACGGCGGGAGGAAAGCCCAGGAAGCAGGAGCATTGTGGGGGCCGCTCCGTTGGCCTCGGAGAGATGGACAGTATTTTGTATATATTCGCTCAGTTTTTTGTGTTTTTAAAGAATGCTCTTGTGGTTACCCGGTGTCTCTTTCTGGAATGTGTGTGTGCAGCGGCGCATCTCCCTTCGCCCTTTGCCCTGTGACAGGCAGCCCAAGGCCCCCACCCCAGCCCTCACAGCCGGCCACGGGGCTGAGCACGCCGGAGGTTGGCTCGTTGCTTCTTGGCGCAGACGGAGCACGTCCCCTCTTCTTCCGGTCCACCGGCTAAGGTTTCTGCAGTTCCTGTTTCTTCAGGCTCAAGTCTAGGAGGCTGTAGTGTGCCCGCTCTTCCCTGAGAGTTGGTGGCGCGTCTCGGGATGAGGGCCGGGTCCGAGCCTCCTCCTCCCGGCCGCCCCTCGCCATCCCGCGGCTGTGGCTTCCCAGTACTGGGTCGTTGGTCCTCCCGTTCTTTCCACTTCACATCCTCGAGGTTTACCGGAGGCGGCCGCCAGCGCCCTCTGCTGGTCAATGGCCAGAGGCCTGGAGCAAGTCGGCCAAGTGCTGGGGCTGGAACTTGGGGTTCAGGCAATCCCCACTGTGTCCACAGCCCTGCCCGGGGACTGCCCTCTGCTTCCTGACTGGGGTGGAACCCTGAAGAGTCAGATGCTCTCACGGGGTGAGCAGGAATGGGAGAACGGCTCCCCTTCCCCCACTTTCATTTCCATCTGGGGCAGGGAGTCACAGTCTCTGCCATGAAGCCTCCCGGTGGGATTTCAGGCTTGGCCTCATGGGCGGCCTTGTTGTCAAGTTGCGTGCAATAGTCGGTGTAGAGCCTCTTTTGGCTCCAGCCCAGTCCTGGGGTGCAGGTCTGGAGTGGGGTACTCCCAGGTACCTACTTTTGGAAAATCATGAAGGAAGTGGTATTCTGCTGGGAGTTGGGGGTGGGGGGAGACGGGAAGAAGGGAGGTATTTATGTGGCTCAATGATAAGCGAACCCCAGTGACTTTGTCATAAGTAGTTACGCATTTTTACCCTGGTAATTGTTCAAATGAAGAAACCCAAGACTTTTCCATTTATAATTTTTTCCCCATCTTCTGCATTGAAACAGCAACCTAATTTATCTTCCCCAGTGATTCTATAGGACATTTAAAAAGTGGTCCTGTGTTTCATTTGAGAGAATTCATTGTTTAACTTTTCTTCAAAGTTTTTTCTCAGTTCCTGTTTTATTACTCATTTTCTTTTCTCAATATGGTCTCCACGGCGGCTGAAATGTTTTGAAGGATTGTGGAGAAGCCAAGAACACTTGAAAAGCTGTCTCTTCTCTCATGTCCTCTATGCTCCAGGCTGGACACCCAACTCCTTGTTTTGAGCTTGGCTCACAGCTGGATGTGACCCAGGCTCTGCCAGGAGCGACTGTGGGGACTTGCACAGCACCGCCTAAAAACCAAACCAAACCACACGACTGCCTAAAACACAAACCCCAAACCCCATTAACCTCTGACCTTTTGGAATTAACACATCCAGTATTATGTGCTGCCCCCTCCTGGCCTGTTTCTCCCCGAGCCTCACTCCATCCTGAGTGCTTGTCAGCAGGTGATCCTCATCCTGGCGGTCCTCTGTCCCCCCCACACCCCTTCAGGATGAGCTCTCATCCTCCAGTAAAGAATGTCAAAGCTTAGACTTACCTCTCCTTCACAATGCCTGCTCAGTATCTACCCAAGACCCAGCAAGCCTCCCATTTTCTTGGGTGAGGGCAGCGTAGAAGAAACCATCAAGCTAGTCCAGCCTCAGGCCCCCGAACCCACATGCCCGGCACTGGTGTGGGCCCTGACGCTGGTCAGAGAGCCTCATGCATGCTCCTCACTGTCCTGGAGCCTGTCTTTGCCCACCTCTGCTGCCAGGCCTTATGTCCCTGAGTGCAACATGAAAAACACGGCAGGGGATGACTCCAACCCATTCAGATCCCACAGCTCAGGTCTGTCCCTACTTGGGCTTCTCGCCTTTCAGACAGACAGCTTTTTGTGGAGACACAGGTTTCCTGCTCCTCAAACCTCATTTTTCTGCTGGTTGTGGGAAAAGAAAGGTTTTAAGGAGACAAATATGGAGGGATAGCAAGTATTCTGTTCCTGTGTTCACAAAACAAAAGGATGCACATCTACCAATTAGACTTGGGTTTGTCCTGGCTCACAACTTGTGCGAGCAGAAGATCCTAGAGCTCAGTGGTTCCAGTACCTTCCTGGGACCAGAGGCAAAGCAGGTCCTGCCCAGGTTTAAGCAGAGCCCAGGTTTAACCTGCAGCTAAAAGACCCCAGGGCTGGCCAGGTGGGTTTTGTGACTGGAAACCACGGATTTATCTCCTTAAACCTTGATTGAATTAAACTCTCCCAGCCCAGCCTACTGCCTTAGGATGGAGGATAAATATTCAAGAAGAGGGGAGCGTGCTTTGGAGACGCTGAAGGCACCACACAGGTGGGAGGGAGAGCTCCTGGCTTCAGAGGAGCTGGGTCTCCAAACTTGGGATCCAGCTCCACTATCTGCACTTCTAATATGTGGAGAGTAATCATTCGATTAATACCTAACCTTTTGTAAGCCACATTTCAAATGGCCGTCTTGACAATTTCACATTTTGGGGGCAGACTCTCAGTTCTGATCATCCTTTTGCCTCAGCATGCAGCAGCGAAAGGTTCACCTGCGACTGTTGGTGCTTGTTTTTAGTGGGTGGCCTGGGGAGTTCTTTGCCGGCCTCTCTGAGGTTGCTTTCAGCGCTGTGACTTGAACTAAAGCTAGATGCTAACTCACGTGTAAACTGCTGTGCTCAGCACCAGGCTGAAAGCAAAGCAGTGGCAACACCTGGGCAGCTCGGTGGAGACGCGCTGTTCGCAGCGGGAACACCTTGGCTGCTAATTTGAAGGAAATATTAGTAACACCTGCTTTAGGATTACAGCCGTAAACAGTGGCTTTAACTTCTCTTCCTGCGCTCCAGGGGTTCACCTTGAGCCTCCCCCCGGCTCTTCCCCGGGGTGTATGCCCCGAGCAGGGAGCACTGAACTTGGCAGCTGTGTGAATCCTGAGCTTTCAAAGACGCAAGCGCCTCTCCTCCCCTCGCCTTAGTTTCTGATTCAGGGGCCCAGGAATCCACACTTTAACGAAGACCAACCAGCAAGCCTCAAATGGAGCCACATCTGGGGACTGTTCACAGTAAAAGTATTCTGTTAAATAAAAGGTTTTCATGACACTTGTGAAAAGAACGGGGAGGCCGACTTTATTCTACAGTGGGCTTCTGCAGTGGGGGAGAGATTGGGCTCAACTCCTAATACAACGAGGAAAAGTGGGCGCTGATAGCCAAGGAGCAGGCTGGGGGGGCCAGTGGATGGAAGATTATTAAGAGGAAACATCAGGGGTCAAGGGGGAACTCTGGCTAAACCGACCTAACAGGAATCTTGCTGAAGGCAACGTGGGCGATCAGACATCACCTGGGGCGGAGGGGGTGGGGGGACCCCATCTGATTCGAGGGTGATCAGATATCGAGGACGGGGGACTCCGGCTAAACCAGCTGCGCAGGATTCTGGCTAAAACGGAACCACCTGGAGGTGAGCACGGAAGCCCAGAGGTCAGGGCCTAGCGGAGAAGAGAGCCCCGAGGAGCCTGACTCGAGTTTGGGGAAGGCGAGACCGTCAGCACCCAGGACAGCGGGGCCGGCTTTCGGCATCTGCAGGCCGGGGCCGCGGACACCGCGAGCCGCCTGAAGGGGGCGCGCGCGCCTCGCCCGAGCGGGCGGCGGGGAGGCGGAAGTGCGGGGACGGCGTCGGAGGAGGGGCGGGGAGACGCGGGAGCCGGGGACGTGCGGCGCCGGGCCGGCGGAGGTGCGCGTGGGGCCGGGGGCCGGGGGCCGGCGGCCGGCGGAGGTGCGCGCGGGGCCGGGGGCCGGGGCCGCGGGGCTGCACCACCGCCCGTTTCCGCCTGCCGGGCCCGCCCCGGAAGCCAAGAAGGGGGCGCGAGCCCGGAAGGCGGGACCTCGGGCTGGGGGAGACCTCGTCCTACCCGGAGCGCTGGGGCCTCCGTGGGCGGCCTCCCGCGGGTCGGGAGTAAGCGACCCGGGCGGTTCCCGTGGTCCGCGAGCCCCCGCGTGGGTGTCCCGGTGTCTCCCGGCCTCCCCGCCGCAGCAGGGTGGCACTCGTCGTCGCCCGGGCGGCGCCGTTGTCCCCGACGTAGCAGGGCGGGCTTGACGCCGGGCGTGCGGGGCCCGTCACGTGCCCGCGGGGCCCGTGCGGGCTTTCCCAGCCTGCCCCGCGCGGCCCCGGCGCCTCCGGGGCTTGGAGCCTGCAGGATCGGGTGTGTAACCTTGTGGAAATGGCTGAATCTCAGTGCCTGTCCGTAAAATGGGCTCAGGAATGGCTGCCCCGGGGTGAAACGCGTGTGTGCGCCGTGCGCGGCTGTGAGCGGTGCTCCCTGACGGGGGAATGGCTTGGATCGCTGCCTGAATTGGGTCAGAAATGAGCACCTGGGCAAAGCGCTGCCCTCTCTGGCCGGACGAGTGAGGATGATGTGCGGTTCATTTTTTCTCATGAGCTCTAAGCAGCCATTCTAGATGAGCCATCAAGGATCGGGTCGTGGCTCAGGGGGGAATCTCTTCTTCTTGGCCGACTCCCCTTTTCTAGGTAAACCTCTGCTCCGGTGAGCTCCTCCCCCAGGCGGGAGCCCCGAGCTGCCGGCTGAGTGGAAGGAAGACACCTGCACCCACTGAGTCGCGGGGGTGGGAGGAAGGGGCCGAGGCCAAGGTGGATGAGAGGCTGCCCGGGGCCTCCTGGATCCCGCGCTTTAGCGAGCCAGGCACAGATGTTTCTGACCCCTCCTGCTGGTTTTGGTCTGGAAGTGTCTTTTGATTAAGGGGGGAGGGGGGTTGGCCAGTGAAACTTGATTGTAAATTAAAATGGCCTCGGGGTTTCTTGTAACCACACCGAGAGGAGAGAATGAGAAGTCTGGAGAGAGATCATTGAGAGATACTTTAGGGTAGGACAGGCTGGGCACCCTGGACCATCTCGAGTGTCAAGAAGGGGAGGGCTGCGCCTCCTTTCTTCCTTTCTCCTGGGAGGGTGCTCGGCCCTCGTCTGTGTTGCATGGCTCAGTGCAGAGGCTGCAGGAGGCACCTCTGTTGGGCCTGGCTGGCTGTGTGGGGCCCAGGGACCTGGAGCAGGTCAGAAGGCTGCTGCTCCCGGAGCCCGTCAGCTTGTCCCCTAGCACACCTCCCTCGATGCCCTGTGAATGGCCCATCTGGGTCTCCTGGGCCCTGCTCACCACCCGGGGCACCTCTGACCTGCCCTGACCAGTACCTGTGGCTGATGACTGCGTGTATTCTAGCTGATTAGCATTCACTGGGCTTTGTTCTTCCTTTAGGAATTAAAGTTTGACTCCCACTCGGGACAAACAGACCCACAGTTCCTGGTGTGATGAGTGGGATTCGCTGTCCTGATTTAGAAAAGCAAGCCAGTAAGCGTGGGCCCTGACTCCTTTCCATCAGCGACTAGAGAGATGGCAGCCTTGAATTCTGGGGATAAAAAGAGGGTCCTTCCCGCCTGGATGACAGTCCAGGGGGCTGAGAAGAGTATGGTGCCAGCGAAGAGGAGGAGAAGGGCAGCGGTGCCGGCGGCTGCAGCAAGGTGAGACATCTGGCCAGGGGCCTGCTTCGGAATCGAGAGCAGGAGGGGTGGAGGGATTTGCGGGGGGGGGCATCACAGTTGCTGGGCCGGGTCTTCCAGTGTTGGCGTTCCGGTGCACAGCACCTCAGCTTTTATGAGGCGCATAGGCTGTGCGTGGGAGACAGTGAGCTGTCGCCTCACTTTATAGGTGCCACTGCCCCTGTTGGTGACTCCACTGTCAGGCCCTCGTGTGTCCCCGCCCAGAGAGTGGCTCCGTTTCTCAGGGTTACTCCCATTAGTCGGATTCTCACACACCACTTGTCTAAAATGCCAGTCTCTTCCCTTGCAACAAAAGTAGTGACCATCCAGTGGGCAAGATGAGTGGACCAGGTGGTCCAGTTTTCCTGCTGGCAGCTCTCCAGGGACAGACGGGGGAGCAGCAAGTCGCCGGGCCGGCATGCAACCAGAGGCGGTGGGGCGGGCCAGCTGAATGATGGTGACTGGGGGTCTTCAGGCTGCCAGGGAGGGGATGTCCCCGTACTCCTGATGGGGCGCCCGGAGCTCGATGCTGCCTCTGGCTCTTCCTTTGCTGGAGTTTCTTCGTTGACCAGCCTCCCTCTCTGATTGTCACAGCCCTTCTGTTCAGTGCTCACACAGTCAGCTGGGTTTCACGTAGGCCTCAGCCTGATGGTCTGTTGGCTCTGCTTGCATCCAGTGTGGTGTGGCAGTGGCTCTCAGGCGTGGCCATCGTGCCCTATTTCCGGATCCCTGGGGGAGCTGACAGTGGGTGAGAAGCCCCCACTGTTGCCTCCATGACCCCCCATATGAGTCACAAGGATGAGGAAGTCCCGTTGGTGCCCCGAGGAAGCTGCTGCTCTGAGAGCCCGGGGACATGACGCTCTTGCTCGCCTTTTCTTCCTCCCTATGAGGCCTTATGGCCACCTGTCCCCATCCGTAGCGTCGCACCTTTCTTTCAGACTCCCTGCGGTGAAGACTGTGTACTGCATGAGTGAAGCCGAGCTCGTAGACGTTGCTCTGGGCGTCCTGATTGAGGTAAGGTCAGGTGTGCCTGTCCTTACTCTTAGGACCACAAACTCTTTACAGGCAGAAGCTAGACTGCATCCTTGCTTCATGTCGGTAGAAGAGACGCCCTGCATTTTCAGGCGTCCTGGGGGAGCCCTTATCTGCCCCCCTTCTTCCACCCGCCCCTTGTCCCCCGAGTCTCTCAGGCCACGCCCCCTTTGGCCCCTCCCCCTGTGAGTGTGCACCTGCTGAGCATCTGGGGCTTGATGCCTGGGGAGGAGAGGCTGGGAGAGGGAGAGCAGCCCTCTGTGTTAGACTGGTAGTGTGGGTGTGGTGCGGACAGGAAGTCGGACTGCTGTGTTCTCTGGAGGGTCTTACGGGTGAGATGACTGCTTACCACTGTACATCTTAGCAGAACGCCTCTGGAGCCTCCTGGCTTCCTCAAGTGCATAGTCATTGTTAGCACCTTAGGTTGTGTAATGTACGTGTCGTTAACCAGGTGGTCTTCTCTATTACCATCTCATGTAATCCTTGCAATAACCCGATGATACAGTTATTTCAGATACCAGGATCCCCATTTTATAGACAGAAGAAATTGAGACTCAGGGACTTTCCCTTAGTTACATAGCCAGTAAGTGACAGCTGAGGCCCACACTCAAGTGTCAGATCCAGTGCTCCTTTCATTCTGTCACTCTGCCTTTCCAAATAAGTTTCTATTTAGTTTCCTGCTTAGGTGACCCTCAGGCCCCTCCCCCCTTCTCCCCCAGGTTGCTCGCGCTTCCTTAGAGCACTGTGGAGAGGCGGCAGGTGAGGTGGCAGGTGGTCCCATGCCGGCCTACTCTGCCCACAGCCAAATCAGCACTTTAGGGAATTAAAATGCATGTGTTTTGCCTGCCATTTTTTCTACTTCTCAGAGCCGAAAACAGGAAGAGGTCTTGGAGCGGCTGCCTCTGGCAGGTGCTGATAAGCTGGAGCTCTCAGCATCGCAGAGTTCATGGAGTTCTCCTGGGAGTGGAACTGAGGACGAAGACAATGGGAAAGGCGCCCCTCCTCTAGACCTCAGCCCTTGCCAGGAGACTGCCGGTTCTGCCTGCCCCAGAAGCCCTGAGGAAGACGAGGATGTGCTAAAATATGTCAGGGAGATATTTTTCAGCTAAGGGACAGGCTCCCCAGGACTTTCTTCCCGGAGCAGCTGAAGAAGATGATGCTTTTGCTCTCTGCCTGCGGGCTGCGCTCAGCTCCACACCTCCTTGGGCTGGAGACAGTCACCTTGGAGCAGAGGCCTAGGACACTCCGGGCCTGGGGAAGTGAGGAATCACTGAGCTGCCATTAGAATTCCTCTCCCACCACGTCCTCCCCCAGCTCGGGGGTCTGCAGTCCCCGTTGTCTGTTGTATTCGGTTAGCAGGCTTCCGGGGAAATGTGGTGGTGGTCAAACTTACTGGGACCAAAGAATCTTCTTAATGATGTTCAAAGAAAAAAAACAGTAAGTATGGCTGCTAAATACACTGGAATTCCTCCACGTTTGTCAGCGGGCACAACCTCTGCCTAAGGAGGAAGCTGTTTTAAAACTAGTTTCCTTCAGAAGACAATCACTCGTCCAGCCCTGAAGGTGTGCCCAGCTCCACCTGGGAGCTTGAGGCTCGCTGGGTGCAGATGGTGATAAGCTCCTGCCAATCAGACAGGCCTCCTCCCCCAGCTGTGCCCTTCCTCCCACTTTGGCGACCTTGGCCTTCATCCCTAGGCAGCCTTAAATCAAGAGTGGGGCAGGACCCCAGAGGAGACGCTCAGGACAAGCGATCACGGCCGCGTCTATATTTCTGTCTTTATTGCCGCGTGGCTCTTGACAGGCATACAATGAACTGACCGTTTGCTGTATAGGTTTTCCAATACACAGGTGCTGACAAAATACACAGAAGTCCCAATACACAGGTTGTGTTTATCTCCTTTCTAATTCTGGGCTGAGCAGTGGAGGGGCGCAGCGATGGTGTGTATGTGGCAACTTTCAGGCCTGTTCACCTTCCTCCCTGCCTAGCATTTGGTGTGTGCTTCCGAACTTCCAGGTCCCACTTTAGGAATGATTTGCCCGCTGACTCCCCTGTGCTGTCAGGTTTCAAGTTCAGGGGCCTTATTCAGGGAACCTGCAGCCGCCACGTGTCCTGTCTTCACTGACTCCCTTGGCGATCCCTCCTGGGCCTTTGGAGTGGTGACACAGGAGGGGCTCATCCCACCCACCAGGGACGGAGAGGGGCAGCGTGCTAACCAGGGTTCCGAGGACATTGAGGTGCACTTCCTCTCTGTTCGCCATTTGTTGCCACTAACCTTCACTGGGCTTCGGTTTGGCATTTGGCTGCTCCTGCTGGAAATCTGGCCCGGTGATAGGAATCTTCATCCCCCGATCCTGAGACTATAGTAACAATGGCTTGCTCGGAACAGTTAATTAAAGCAGGAATTTTCATGACAATGAGCTATGTGGTTTTAGAGTGTCCTTGGGAGCCTCAGAAGTCCCAAAGGACAACCCTGCACTAAGAAGCTGCAGGTGTCCTGACCTTGCTGCCTTAGCCTCCTTGACACCAGGATGCCCTGCCCCCTCCGGTGGGGGCTGAAATCAGCATTAGCTATGAAATCAGCTGAAATGCTAGAGGCTGAAATCAGCATTAGCTACGAAACAGACGGCTGAGAAGACACTAGCCCGTGAATTCTCTGGCACCTTCTCTGAGCAGCGCTTGCTATCAGGCCTTTAGACAAGACCAGCTCTCAGGCTTGTTCTTGTCCTTCAATGCCTTCTGAGGGAAAACAGCTGTGGCCATAAGCAGGAGGAGGAGTAAGACCTGGGCGATGCTCAGAGCCAGAAAGCCGGAGCCCAGGAGGCAGAGGCTGACCCACTTCCAGACGCAGGTGAGGAAGCAGCCCAGGCCGCCGGCCAGCAGCACGGACGCCACCGCCAGGAAGCCCACCGCCAGCTGCCACTCGCCCCTATTACTTTTGCACCAGGCCAGGACGAGAGGCAAGGGGACAAACAGGGTGAGGACGAGGGCCCCGTACACGCCAAGCCTGGCCAGGCCCATGGCGATCTGAGACACCCCCAGTTTCTCCAGCTCAGGGAACTGGTAGCAGTGCAGTGAGCCTGAGCCCTCGTCCCACAGGCAGAAGTTGTAGAAGCCCAGCCTCAGGTGGGGCAAGTCAGTGAGGTTGCCGCCCTTCCAGAGGAGAGCGTAGAACAGCAGGGAGATGACCGTGGCCGTCAGGGTCAGGATGCCGATGAACAGCAGCTGGTCACCTCGCTTTGGCACTGGGATGGTCATCTTCTGTCCTTCGCAGGGCCGCTCTCCCGGGTACCTGCAGGGAAGTCACACCAGTGGATGTCCAGCTCTCCCTCCCTCCCTCCCAGTCTCTTCACAAGCTCATGTTCTCCATAAAAACCTGTGGGGAAATCCCATCCCCCTGCCCCCCACCCCCCACAAGAAATCTGAGGTTACCTATAGGCAGGACCCACTAGGTAAGTCATCAGCTGCCTCTCGGGGCTGAGTGCAGAGGGAAAGGCTCCCCCAGGCAGCTTGGAGTGCCTGCAACGTGCAGCTCCACACCACACGCCATTGGATACGTGTGTGAGGGGGTTGCTCAGCTTCCTATCCAGGGGGGTTTGCCTAGGGTAAGAGAGAAGCCTATCTTGGGGCCTGGAGAAGGGGGAGATGCTGAGAGCCCTGGGGACCCATGGTTCTCAGGGCAGCTGTCACCAGCAGCACCTGGGAGCTGTGAGAATTGTCATCACTGGGCCACAGACCAGTTAGACCAGAACTTCGGAGGCTGGGGCCAGGCGCTGGTGTGTTCTAGAAGCTCTGTAGCTCATCCTGACATGAGCCAGGCCTGAGGACCACTGGCTAGACCACTAGACTTGACCTGCCTGCTCTGGGAACTCCGGTGAAGACGAAATCCCGCCTGGTGATGAAATCGCATCATTCCTTTTAAAATGGCTACACTATTTTTCCCCCTGGACAACAGCAGCAATATACGTTAATTATAAAAAAAAATCTTGGAAAGTATTTATAAAAAGTAAAAATACATAAAAATAGCCGTTCTCTCCCACCGTGTACATAGAACCACTACTAATGGTCTACCAATGTTTGTACTGATGGGTTTTTACATAATCATATCATGGAACATAATGCTCTGCTCGTTGAATATTGTCCCCATTTTTCAAAGCGGTCACATATTCTTCAAAAAACATAGTGGCTGCATAATAATAGTTCATGTCATAGGTTTACCCATGACACTATTAGTAGACAAATTATTTCCATTTTTCACCATTATAAGTGATCGAGGAAAGTACTAACTATCCAAAAGTGCAATTATTAGGTCCAGGGTAGAAATAACTCTTCAGCAATTTTTATTGCATAATGCCAAATTGATGTACAGAAAACTTGTTAACTGTAGTCCCTCGAGTTGTGTATAGCATGTATCTCCCTTATCACTTTTGAAAAATCTTTTCTCACTATGTTTTTAATCAGAAGGACTTCTCCAAATAGGGCATTTAAAAGACAATAGTCCAGGGCCGGCCGAGTGGCGCGATGGTTAAGAGCTGGCTTGGGACGCCAGAGGGCCCCGGTTCGGATCCCACATATGAGGGCCAGTGA